GTGCTTGATGAACCGAATATTTGTGTTTGATGGAGTGATTGAATGCTTGTGCTAGATCGATTGAATGTTGGTGCGAATTCAATCAAATGCTGGTGCTGGATTGATTGAATGTTGATGGACTGAATGCTAATGCTGGAGTGGTCGAATGCTTGTGCTGTATCAACCGATTGTTGGTGCCAATTCAATCAAATGCCGGTGTTGGGTTGATTGAATGTTGATATTGGATCGACCAGATGCTTGGCTTGATGAACCGAATATTTGTGTTTGATGGAGTGATTGAATGCTTGTGCTAGATCGATTGAATGTTGGTGCGAATTCAATCAAATGCTGGTGCTGGATTGATTGAATGTTGATGGACTGAATGCTAATGCTGGAGTGGTCGAATGCTTGTGCTGTATCAACCGATTGTTGGTGCCAATTCAATCAAATGCCGGTGTTGGGTTGATTGAATGTTGATATTGGATCGACCAGATGCTTGTGCTGAATTAGTCAATGGGTCGCGCCAGGTAAATACTGGGCTTATAAAAAGAAATTGTAACTTGTGCCAGGTAAGTACTGGACTTTATACAAAAGAAAAATGTAACTCGTGCCAGGTAGATACTGGGCTTTAAAAGAAAAATATAACTGGTGCCAGGCAGATACTGGGCTTAAAAAGAAAGTCAAATGTGAAGTAGGTGCTTAGCCTAAAAACTCTACGTCATAAGTTCTAGGAAGCAAGAGATGCAAATGAAATGTGATATGATGCAAAATGTTATGAGACACAACTTTCAAGACTTAAACTTTTGTTTATTTCCCTTTTTGTTTTTGCTTTTGCTTTATTTTTCAGAAATTCCTCATCGTGACACACAGGATAACTAGTTTTCTATTCATGGGTGATGAAAGATTGATGACTCAGGTACTTTTTTTATCTGAGATTGTGTTCTCTATTGTTTGCTAAAAAAATCAAGACTAAAAAATATTATTTTTTAATTCATAAACAACATAACTTATTTAAGGATTGCTACTTATTTTTAAATAATATTTTGTTATGTTATTACATTCCAATAAAAGTTGTTAATAAACATCATTGCTTATTAATTAATAAGATACATCACACCATCAAATCACAATCACTATCAATTAGATATACTTTAAGATCACTAAAGGACATATTAATAACTACCAAAAGTGAATTTTCCTTTTACTGATTGTGAAATTTGGATAATTTACAATTAATTGTGAAATTTGAACAATTTACTTGAGATATTAAATTTTGTGTTCATTGTTCACAATCACAAATAAAAGAATCATTTTATTTTGGTACACACCAAAAAAGTCACTTATTAATGATTTATAAAAATAAGTATTAAATACATTAACACAAATTATTATTATTATTATTATTATTATTATTATATTAATAATGTATTTATATAGAGTTAATATCACTCAGTCAAATCATTCTAGAAAAGTAATGACATGCTTTCAATTGAAATATTTTATTAATATATGATAAACATTAACAAATGTTTTTAAAACATTTATTGACTATTTAAAAAATAAAAAGTGTTAAGAAAACATTAAAATATTGAAATATTCAATGTATTATATGTTGTATTTTAATAAATAATTTTATTTGTTAAATATTTGTTATTGATTTTAAAACATTGTTGCCTACTCAAAAAAAATTAAGAAAATCTTTAAGTCGTTAACAGTATTCAGTATATTAAATCTTGGTCAAAAATAAAAAGAATTAAGAAAATGTTAAAAGTATTCAATATATTAAATGGTATATTTAAATAATTAATTAATTTTATTTAATTTTAACAGGTATATATATCCTTAGAACAATTGATAAAAATTCAAAATATTCCCATATCAATCTTCTCAGAACTACAGGAGGTGAAAATTACAAAATGGCTTCCCGCACCAATCAAATTTTCCTTTTGGTACTATTATGCATCGCATTGCTTTTGAATTCAGGTAAAAAAAAAATAGTTAAGTTGCATATCTATTTTTGATTGGGTAAACATGGTTTTCTGTCGTAAGATATGATTAAACAAGTTTTTTTTTCTCTAATAAATTAAACTTTTTTTTTAATTATAAAGATAGATGTCATTCAGATAAATAGATCTCACGAATAATGTATATCTAAAGAATTATTTTTTCAAAAAAAAAAAAACAAGATATGTTTTTATTTATTTATTTAACTATGTTGAATATGTAGGAGAAGGAGAAGAACAAATATGCCAAAAAGGATCAGACGAATGCGCACAAGTTGATCCGTGGGCATGCCCAGACAGTTGTCGTAAAAAAGGTTTTGAGAAAGGAGGTTCATGCGAGATAATTCATCTCGAGGAAGTCCAGTGTTGTTGTTTCAAATGAGCACTTGTATATGCTAAACATGTATCAAATTCAAATAAAACATTTATGAACTACAACTTACCTTAATTTGAAACTGAGTTAACAAGAACTCCTGTCAAAAGTTCCATACTACATTTGTTAAAAGTTTAGGTGTTAATTTATGTTATAACTTTTAACCACTTATAATGTGTGTTATACAACTTTGGTAATGAAATAACCGATGTAATATATCAAGTTAAAAATTAAGTTGTTTTGGGTTATTAGAGTTGAGATCAAAATTAACTAAGAATAAGGAACACATATAAGGGTTTTTTGAAGATAGAAAATTCATAATCATTTTCACAAAATATAGGTGATGGTTGGTACACTATCTGCTTTTACTTTGTCAAGAATCTGAAGTTGAGAATGTTAGCTTCTCACATTTGATATATCATCTAAAAAATAACATCCTAGGAAACATGATTTTTCATAAATGTTTTTTATACAAGTTTCCCATCAAATTGTTCTCATGGGATAGGTGGTAACCTAACATTAGTTAAAAAGAATGTTTTACTACAATAAAAATATTACGTTAATTTAATCATAAATAAAATAAAAACAAGTGTTTAATAAAATAATTATACTTTCTAACTTAATTAATTAAATTAATTGGGTTATTAATATAATTAAAACATTTTATAAACTAAAATAAACTAAAAGGGGGTTGCAGTGAAAAAAAGGAGGTTTGGGTTGGACTCTTAAGTCCAATCTGAAAGCTTATTTAAAAACAAGAAAAATAAAGGGTAGGTCATTCATGTGCATTTGTTCTAAATCCTAAGAGCAACAATAAAGGAAAACCTAGTGGGAGTGCTACGAAGATTGTCACTCTATGTAAAGGGGAGAGAATGTCTCATTTATGAGCACATATGAGGGAATGGGTAGTAAGATAGTCTCTAAGCCTTTTAAGTTGTTGGTTGGATTTCGTTTAACACCTATAATATGAATTTTTGGCTGAATTGATCATGTGTGAAATTTAATTGTTTGAGGGTTAAGGTTAGATGTATGATTTGAGGGTTTGGTGATTTGTTTAAACTCTAAAACTTATTGCAATATGATGTTTAATTTTGAAATGATTAAATTAGTATCAAATCGATAATTTAATGATGCAAAAATAGAGAAGAAGAGGGTGATAATTTTGTGGGAATTGATTGAGTTTGATGCAATTATATGACTCTAAACTGATAAGAATGACCATGGTTAAGGGAACATGCCAGTGCAAGAAGCACCACAACTATGCTTAAGAAAGTACGCTTGTGCGTGGCCAAACTTGAGGGAATAACCACATTTTTGCTTAATGAACCATGCTCGTGCATGCTTGATTTTAGTAAAGCACACATATGCTTAATTTGTGCATGCTTGTGCATCCTTTTAAAATATGAATTACCTTTTGATGTCTTCATAAGAAATGTAGCCTTGGACGTTAGCTTTTCGATTGAACTAATGTGACACCCTCTACCCCGCATACCATAATACATAAATAATAAAATTTGAATAACACAATCTTTCATAATTGAAAAACCAAACGTGTTTAGATAGAGAGTACCACATCCATGACTTAAACAAATAACTTAATCAACGGAAATTACAAAGATATAATGCGTGAGGGGTTTTTCCCAATTGTATCTGTTTCATCTCTGTTTCTCCCTAAATGTTCTAATTGATGTAATTAGTATGTATGTATAAGCAGTTTGTTTGGATTATAATTGCAGACTTTGGTGTTCCTATGGGTTCCTATGGGAAACCCAAAGGGAATGCATTGGTCATTTTAAGAGAAGATTGTTTGAAGAGGCAATTATATGAGTAAATTTTATTTGTTTTAAATGTTTATTGTATGCATTAGAGTGGTTTATGAGTTCCTGAGAGAACCTTATGAGAAACAGGCAAAATATGAATGTTATCTGTTTTGCTTTCTGTTGTTCTGTTGTGTTCCTTGTTGGGTGAGATGTGCGAATATGTGTTTAATTTCGCAAAAAAAAAAGTTTTGATATGAATTAAAGTACTTTGTGGAGACTATGTGAATATGATGAGATAATGTGAAAAGTGAATATGAGACATGAGATATGAGGATATGTGATAATGAGACACGATAATGTTATATGATAATGTGATATGAGAATGCATAGAGTCTTGATTTACATGCATCATTTGCATAAATGCTTTAAGGGTACGATATGGAATACACCGCTAGGGAAGGCCCCTTTGTGTAAAAGCTTGGGGATATTAGTCCTTGGGGATAGCTCGGTTTGGAAGTCCCAGTCTCGTCCATTGTGTGTAAAAGGAAAAAAATGAGATGAAGACTTAAATTAAATGAAAAGAATAAAAAAATGAGACAAAGACTTAATTAAAATGTGACTTACTATGCCCCTAATATGCATGTATGCATGACTTTTTATCATTTATCTTTTATTTGTTAAAAAAAATATTTTAGGCAAGAAAAGTAACCTAAAAATGATACTGGATATAAATATATGATGCATGCATGAATGTATCAACATTTTTTTTTGTATGAATATATATAAGAAGAGGGATAGAGAGTAGTATAATGTGACCTATTACGGTAAGCCTAGGGTAGGAAATTTATAAGGTTAACACCCTACTTTGGAAGGTCATTAAGTCCACCTATTAGTGCATGGTTTTGTGGGTGGATCTAAAAACTCCCCAAGATTTATTGGTCCCCAGGTTGCCCTTATCATATAAATAAGGACCTAGCGCATGAATTAATCACAAGTAGGGAACATACCCTCTCAATATGATTAACCCATGCAACTAGTAACAACCTGAGCGGTAACTCAACAACGGTCAAGTGAGCATCAAGCCCCTCAATAACAGTCATCAAGCCACCTTCTCTTCTTAGGCTCGCACAGGCTCGGGTATAGAGCCCAAAGTGTGTGAGGTACAAGTGTTAATGGGTGTGTAAGATAACAAACAAACATGCAAATAAAATAAACAAAACTCTAATTTAAACTTAAATCCAAACAAAGCATGCGTAGCAAACAGAAATAATAAAACAAATAAATACAACAAATAAATAAATAAATAAATAAAATAAAAAGAAAGGAAAAAAAATAATATTTATAAAGTCATAATTTTGCGCAATTAATTTAACAAGGCCTGACTCTCATAACTAGTCCCCAGCGGAGTCGCCATCTGTGTCCCCAGTGGAGTCGCCATCTGTCGTAACCGAGATCACGACGGGATGACGCTAACAATTATTTTTTTAATGGAGTCTCCACCAATATTTTAATTTAAGGGAAAAACATTGGAAAACCCTTTAAAGGATAATCTTTAAAATTAAAGTTGGGTTCGGGAGTCGATTACGTGTAAGGAAGGTATTAACACCCTACAACGCCTGTAAAAACAGTACCTTTAATTAATTGCGCAACATTATATAAATTTATAAATATTTAATTTATTCCTAAAAAAAAACGTATGTGAGATATATTTTCTTTAATCTGAGATGCCTCTTTTTTTTTTTTTTTATTAGAAAATTATAGGGATTTGGGTTAGCAAATGGCTAATTAATAAATCTTTCCAATAACATGAAAGATAGAATTGCTGTTTAATCCATGTTATTGACTTTTATTTGTTGATACTAAATTATGCTTAAAGCGTAGGACAATGAATAAGTATTATATTAACTTTTATGGTTTATATGATATTAAAGGGTAGAAGTGCTACTCAATTAATATCATTAACCATAAAAATAAGTGTACATAAGAAAATTTATGTTTATATTTTTATTGAAAGAAATAGATTTTGCACAAGGATCCAAGTTAGCAAATGGCTAATCAATAAATCCCTCCAATAACGTTAAAAATAGAAATGCTATTTAATTAACGTTATTGGTTGCAACTAGGGGTGGACAAAATGAATTGAACTAAACTGAACTTATAAAAACTATACTGAACTTAAAAGTAGTTTTCATGAACTGAACTAAACTAAATATTAGTTCAGACGAACTGAACTGAACTATTTTTTTGTGTCACTAAACTGAACTGAACTATACTATACAAACTTGAACTGAACTGCAATTTAAATTGCACTGAACTATTATGGTATTTTGAATTGAACAATTTTGACTCATTGATCTATCAAATAGGACACATTTGTCCACTTTACTTTATTTTCCATTTTATTTAAATTTTTCAAAGAAAAAAAATATAAAATTAAGTCAAAAAAACTCAGTGAATTTTTTGAGCCTAAAAATAAGTAGTCCAACATAGCTCAATTGATTCGTTAGGTTTTACTTATTAGACTATCGAGTTAATCTATTAAGACATAACATGTTAAACACATTTAATTTTTATCCTTTTATAAAAATAGTTCAATTTTTATAATTCAGTTCAGTTTTGTAGTTCATTACAGTTAACTTTCCAACAGTTCAGTTCAATTCAGTTTTTTTTAAACAGTTCAGTTCATTTTTTTTACAAACAGTTCAGTTTTTTATAGTACAGTTCAATTCAGTTCACCATCAGTTCAGTTCAGTTCAGTTTTTTTTGCCCACCCCTAGTTGCAACAGATCTTTACCCTTTAGAAAGAAATTTCATATAAGAGAGTTTAAGCTAGCAAATTGTTGAGAACTCCGTTGAAACACTTTTGTTAATATTTGTAAATTCGTTT